CTCTCTCTCTCTCTCTTCCTTCAAATCCAGACCCACCACCACCCCCGAAATCGCCTCAGATCATCTCTATTTTTTTTTTTTTCCTTCCCTAGTGGATTTGGGGTCTCTCTTTATCTCTGCAAGCAACTGTTAATGGGATGAGAAGATGAAGAAGATGAAGAAAATGAAGGAGAAGGGAAAAAAAAAGAGTCTCCAAAACGATGTTGTTTTGACCCCTCGAGCCATTCGGGCCACCAATTTCTCGAGCTACCTAGCGGGGTTGAAATGGGGTGTCTACAAGCGGTCTTTGTGAACTCTCAATACTTTTGCAAGTTTGCAAAACAATTAGAAAGTGGTGTTTTGCACTCGAGCGATGCTTCTTACGCTCGAGCTGTGTCGGCTTGAGCGGCCATTGTTGAGCTTCAGCGATAGTCTTCTGTTTGTAAAACTTTTGGAAGTTCGTATCCTACGCTCGAGCAAGCATATCTTTTATGTCTGGACGCTCGAGCGACACTTTTTGCGCTTGAGCAGTCTGCGCGTATATTAGTTCGTGAAAGTCACTTTTTCACTTCTCTCTCTAAACATTTCAAAACCCTAATCTCTCTCTCTCTCTCTCTCTCTAAAACTCATCTATTTCCCTTGAATACACATAGATCCGTCGATTTTTTCACCCGTGTATCTTTGTTAAAAAGATAGAGCTCGATGAGAGCTTCGTTCTAATCAGAGCAGAGTCAGTTTTCGGTGTCTTTGGGCTTCCTACACTCTCTCTCTCATCTTCTAAAGCTTGAGGTAAGGATTCTTCGCACCTTTTATGAGTTTTAATTTAGTTATTTGTGATTTCTAAACAACATTGTGGTTTTGAAAATTTTTGGAATAATCTAGGGTTTGGGTAAAGAAAATCAAACGAGGGGTTTTTCCAATGTATTCTTGGAAATGATTATGATGTTGGAAATAATGTTGAGTTTGGTAGAAATGGTTGACTTTGATACTTGGGGTTGATATTGGAAAGAAAATGAATTTTATCCTAAATGCCTCAAATATTGGTTTTGTATAAATGATGAAATTGATGTTGGCATTGTGAAATTGAATTAATGTTGATGAGGATGGTAGAGTTGAATATGAATTATCATTCATCTATTGAAATTGGGGGATTTGATCAAAGCATCCTCATTATAAAATTTTAATGCATTAAGGACAAGCACAAAAAGTTTTCCTTGAAAAGTCCAATAAATATCACTATTATCAAAATAATATAACTTTTGATGTAGATGTCGATTTTTAATAAAATTAATATTTTTAGAATTCTTTCAGATCCATATTGACTATGAATTTTTTTTTTTAAAAAATTATTGCCATTGAAATTGATGTAAACAGTAACAGTAGCATGCTACTATGTTTGACAGTGACATTTTATTTTGTCTCACCGTAACATGTTACTCTGTTTGACAGTAACATGGTACTCTGACAATATTGTCCAAGAAAAAAAAAAGAAAGAAGATACTTTACTTTTATCTTTACTCAATTGTGTGTTTTCTTCTTAGGGGGTTTATGAAAAAAAATAAATTGGGCTGTCTTTTTCACCAAACAATGGTCCAATAGAGGGGTTTTAACTAAATTTTCCATTGAAATTTGAAAAGTTTATCTTTATGAAATATAAATTATCTATTTAAAAATATCTGTCTTGGGCTATCGGTAGAAGATAGCTATGATTGTTGTAAAAATTGCGTAAGAATTAAGGAAATCGAAACTATTTCTCATTTATTTGCATCAGACATTATTTTATATTTATACATTACAAATGTATATTGTTTTGAGAAAATAGGTGAATTTGGAAAGGAGTTATTGTTACATCAAATAAGTTGGCCTGTGTGTTCAAGGTGAAAGTCTCAAAAATTGCGCGTATACATGGGTGTCGATCCCACGAATGAAATATCCTTAAAATGACAAAAGTAGTGCTTGTATAGCATATATTTACATGGGTGCCGGTTTATGGTTTCTCGCAGACGAAATTTTCGTGAAATGTGATACTGTTTTAGAGATTTCCAAGAATATGATTCACTGCCTTATTTCCTCTTGAAAAGAGAATGTTTTATGAACTATGGTATTCATTTGGCATTGCAAGGTTTTTGGAAAGAGGTAAAATATTTTGGCACAAGCATTACACATGTATACATCTTATAACTTTGTTAAGATTCATATATTGTGCTACATTATTTCTACTAGGTTTTGGCTCACCCTATGTGGAAAAAACATTTTAGGTGCTGATGATATGCCTCCGCCTAGACAATAGCTTAGGAGAACCTAGAGCGAGAGCTTCTTTTGTGTATTTACTATATTTGTTTTTATACAAACCAAGAGTTTTAACTGTATTGGATTTAATCTCACTTTTGTTGTAACCAAGAATTATTTTGGAAAGTTGTAAGATTTTATGACATTTATTTATCTGTTTTACTTTCTTATCTTATCTTTTATCGCACACATGCTATGGATTCAGGGTAAGACTTATGAATTTATACTTGCATATGTCACATTTTGTACAAGTGATTGGGATAAATGAAAGAGAATTATTTCGGAGCGTTACAGATATTTGTATTTTGGTAAAATATTGACTCTTTTTTTTAAAAAGAATATTTATATATATTGTATTTATAATTGTATAATCAAAGTTTTAATTGTAATTTAATCTCATATATAAGTATAAATTTATAAATTTTCTAGCTCGTTAAAACTCATGAACAGACTCAAACTCGAGTCAAGCCTAAACCAATTCGGTTTGAGTTCGGTTCGTTAAATTTTTATTGAGTTTGAGCTCGAGTTCGTTAAAATTTTAATAAATAAGTCTAAACATACTAAAACTCAGCTCGGCTCAATTTGGCTCGTTTATGGCCCTACTCGTGATGGAGCAAGTGATGTTGTTGTGACCAAGTCACAATAGCGATATGTGGTGCCTCAGTGGAGGCTATTTTTGAGTTTTTTTTAATAATTTACATCGTTTAATTATAGAATTCATTGAATATATCATTCATATAAGAAAATTGAATTAATTAGAAATCTATAATTTTATAATAAGAACACATTTATTTTTTAAAAAATAAACGGTTAACAATATCTTGAAACTTTTTATAAAATTATTTGAATATGATCAAAGGAATATAAATTTTTAATTAACTTAATTTTTTATATGAATAGTATACTCGACGAATTTTATAATATGAACCGCACATATTATTGAATAAGACTAAAAAAAAACCTCCACACCGAAACATCACATCCCCGCATCCCCTAGGGATTGCGGCCCTACTTGCCAGATGAGTGGCCTATTTTCAAGTCTAGTAGGGTTATTTTGATTTAGAAAAATATTTGAGGGCCACAAAAATAGTGGTTCAAATGGCTCAAAACTGCCAAAACGATGTCGTTTTGGCAAATTTTGCGCCCAAAACGACATCGTTTTGGCAGTTTTGAGCCATTTGAGCCACTGTTTTTGTGGCCCTCTACCATTGCTGTTTAATTTAAAAGTTAAATTTTACATATTGTTTTACATATTATTTGGATTTAGAAAATACGCTTTTCTATCAGAGATTTTTTTTAAAAATAAATTTTAATAATTTTAATTGTTTATTTTATATTAGATGTTAAAGAGGTTATTTATGCAAAAAAGTTAATTACACTTTGATAGCTATATGATGGGCAAAAACTTGTATTACAAAAATAGATAAGAAATATAATTTTAAAAATAAATTATTATTATATTGATCATAATTATTTTTTAAAATAAGATCTAATATTACGGTAAATCATGACAGTAGTCCATATACTTTGATCATTATGTCATTTTAATTTCTGTAATTTCAATTGACTCTATTTTGATTATGAATTTATGATTTTGTCTCAAATTGATTACAATTCTTAATTTTTTTTAATATAAAAAATATGTATATAAGTGTCATGTGTTATATTTTAAAGGACAAAATTATAAACTTACTAAACCCAGGGAGTTAAGCCTAAAATAATTTAGTGATAATTTTTCTTAAAAAACACTAACAATATCATTAATTAGACTAAATTGACATAAAATTTAAAATTAAAGGTCAAAATTGAACCAATTGAAGGTATATGGATTAAATAATACAAGGACTAAAATGTAAGAACCACCAATGTAATTTATCCATCATATTGTATCAACTAGCGTATGCCCGTGCCTGAAGGCACGGTGTTAATAACGTTAGGATTAGAATATAATTATAATTCCAACACTATTTAATATAATTGTAAATTGTCAATTTTAATATAATTGTAATCCCAACCCTTCTGTATTAAAAGCAGACCCACGAATGCAAATAATATTAAGGTCACGCTCATCGCGAACAACAACATTAACATTTCTTTTTTTGAAGAAATTGAATCTATATACAAAAACTTTATATACATAAATAAGAAAAAAAAATCATTTCTTTCTTGATATTACTGTTTGGTGCAAGTCTATATCCACCTAAAAAGTATGAGGAACAAAACATTTATAAGAAGAAAATTAGATATGATAAGTTTAAAATAAATAAATAAATAAGCCTTACATTATAAGAGAGGTACTCGAAGCTTTCCCTAGTCTATAAGTTTACAATCTCATTTTCCAATGGATTTTCACCACCATACATGCACCAAAAATACTATAATTTCCATTTGTGTAGGCACAACAAATCCCATATTTCTCATATTCAAATGCAGGCCTGCTGTAGATTTCCTCACTATCAAGTGAACATCTTTATTTGCTCTATGGCCAGATCTGCATGTCAAGTTTATGTTTAAAAGATGACTATCCAGTCTTCAATCATTAATTAAGAAAAATAAATAAACGAAGATTGAGCACATTGATACATTTCTAGTATAGCCATCATCAAAGTATCCAATTCAAATTAAAACCAAAATCAAAATTCGTTAGGACTTCACACACAAAATGAAACATCTACACTGTTTTAACTACATTAGCAGAATCCAAAAAAAAAATAAAATAAATAAATAAAATACTACAGTTGCGATTCAAATGCATCTGAATATACATAGCACCAATTCAGAAATTCAGGGAATGGAGATATATGATAATGAATGAAAGGAAAATCTGACTACAAAAACTGAAATGCAGTCTGATCAAAAGAACTACAATGTGCTTATCAAAAAAATATTATAATGGGGTCATTAGTTACTGTTTATCCCTTTTGCTAGGTCGTAAAATTATAGTGCAAGAATTTACATAGCAGACTTGGAACCGCTTCCTGCCTGCTGCCCACACAAAAAACTACTAAAGTGTTGATTCCATACACAATCAAGCCAGTCTGTAAAAGAGAGAATAGGTACACCTCAAAACAGAAAAGAACTTAATGTACTAAAGTGTTTTAATGCATTTAAAACAAAAATCATGCTTACTTGAGTTGGATGCTGTCCTGGACCATCCCCTGCATTAATAACAGGAATACTGGCAGTGGCTGCTGTTCTTTGAGCAGCACCACTTTCAAAGTGCCTCATCACAATTATATCCGAGTACCCTTCAACTGTTCTTATACTATCTGCAAATCAAGCTTCAAAATTAGAACCACAAGGCAACAAATTAAGCACCTAAAATTAAGCATTTGAAAAACTAGTGAACATACAGAAATGCACGCAAAACAGACATCAATTTTTTAAGCCCAAAACTCCTACATCAAGCAAACAACTTCAATATCATGTCAGCATTCAACTTCAATATGTAGAAGAATCTAACTAAAGATAGTCTGAAGGGTTTTCATGAACAAAGTCAAGCAAACAACTTCAATTATCTACCAGAGGATTGCATTTAAAACAAAAATCATGCTTACTTGAGTTGGATGCTGTCCTGGACCATCCCCTGCATTAATAACAGGAATACTGGCAGTGGCAGCTGCTCTTTGAGCAGCACCACTTTCAAAGTGCCTCATCACAATTATATCCGAGTACCCTTCAACTGTTCTTATACTATCTGCAAATCAAGCTTCAAAATTAGAAGGGAAGTGAAATGGGTGACTTTTTACCAAGAATGTGTAGCTGTCCTAAATGCCCCAAAATGGAGACTTTTTACCAAGAATAGTTAAGCACCCCAAAGTTAAGGGAAGCAAAATTGAAAGAGGGATAGCCGTGGCTTTTAATTTATGTAAGAGAAACAGATTTATGGACAAATGTGTCGGACTGGGAAGAGACAAAAGGTGGGAAAGCAACTAAAGACAATTGTGGTGCTTTGGTGTTTCATAATACAAAACATCATCCCCAACAACATATGAAATTTTGACTCAGATGAAAAGACCTGTCCGTATCAGTTATACTTCAAAAACTCATTTGTACAGAGACTTCATTCCTATCTATGTTTACTTAAATTCTAAACAAAAACAGGCTTAAAAAGTAGCAGTTCGTGTACAAAGGCACGGTGTAAATAATATTAAGATTAAAATGCAGTTATAAAAATATATTTAACAGACTGTACTCTACAATTCCAAATAAATCAAATATAAAAAAAAAATTAAATATCAAATAATACACACCAGCCAGTGCTCTGCCTAAAGACCTACCGTATGCCCGTACCTAAAGGTACGGTGTAAATAATATTAAGATTAAAATGCAGTTATAAAAATATATTAAAATATTTTTCTTCTTAAAGAACTTGAATAAAAACTCAAATAAAATAACAATATTGGCCATTAAGAAACTCAAATAAAATAACATCTCCTCTAATCTTAATGCAAATTAAGAAACAAACATATCAGATTTATAATGTTTACCAATATTGCAAATCAAAATATAAGAGCAAGTTAAAAAAAGAAAATTGTAATATAGCAGAAGCTTAAAAATTGTAATATATCCCTAGCTTAAAAATTGTAAAATAAAAATTTCAATCAAAGAAGACAGCTTCAAAATCCTTATGTAATATAGCAGAAGCTTAAAACAAAAGTTGGCCATTGAAAACAAAGAGGCAGCACTTCAACTGCAATTTCAAATCTCATTGTGTTAGTGGCAATCATACTACTACATGGGTTTCTTTTTGGTCTTTTTGTTTTGTTTCTTTAACTATTTGTCTATTCTTTTTTCCAGAATATGATTTCTGTCCTGATAGAGCCTCATAAAAGGGTATTTTAACTTTTGAGCCACCAAACCAAACCTTTAGGGCTACAACAACCATTTAGTAAATTCTAAACTACATAAATTAAAAACATAAAATGAGATGATTGATTAACCCTTAGATAACAAATTATCTAGCAACTCAAATCGTGTCATGCTTACTTTCAGATAAGCACCATCAGATACTGTAAAAATGGGTTTAGGCCATATAATCCCTAAGGTGAGGTGATTAGTAGGCAGCGGATGTAATATGCACTTCTACATGGTGGTATTGCATATGTGCTAAGAAACACCGAAACACCGACACATCCAATAAGGCGTCATGTCATATCGGACACTGTATAATCTAAGCTAATCTGATGCTGTCTATTCCTGATTAAAAGATTGTATACAGATACAATGGTGGTGATTTACAATACTCTGTCATATTCTCTAGTACTTCCTCCAGTTAAGGAGAACTACGATGACTGGAAATGCGTAAGGAGGTAATCAATCTCTTAACCAACATGTTATCTATATTCTCACACTTATATTCCAACACTTTCACCAAACAGTAAGATGCAATTTTTTCACGCGTTTTGCATCAACTCACAAAATATTAGCAAATATCATAAAAAATTCCCCTTTATGTCTAGAATTGCCAAATCATTTCAAACATGTACAAATTGCAAGTACCTACTTTCCTGTTCTCCCAAGTGATATAAATAAGAATTTTTGCGAATCCATCAGTTTCTCTATGGAATTCTAACTCCTCTCAATAATTTTTCAGATACCTTGCAGATTATAAATTACCAAATACTCCCTAGATTTCCCAATTTTAATATAATTCTTCTTGTTTTCCAAATCAAAGAAACACATAAATATCCCATAAACACATAAGTAACTTGACTTTATTAAGAAGTTTCAACGTTGTCCCTCTGTTAAATGCATTCACACAAACCTAACTATATTGGCTTTGTTAGGCATTTTAGGACATCAAAATAACAATGGGAAGAGTCTAAATAACATCAATATCAATACAATCAATAATTCCCCAATTTTAACATAATTCTTGTTACCCAAATAAAATAATAATAATAAATAAAAAACAATATCCCATTTATGTGAAAAAAATTTGTAGAACCTAACCGCTATTAGAAATCACTAATGAACAATATTGTTTTCTCAACCACAAATTCACGCTTTACATAAATTAACAAATAAGTTTTGAAACCACAATACAATCAAAATCAATAAACCCTAATCACAAAGTCATTAGGCAATCAAAAGGATAAAATCTCAATCATCAATGAGATCAAAAAGGGAGGAGAAAACCAAACCAAAATGAGATCAAAAAGGGTTCCCTGATCTACTTTTACGAACTCGGTATCAAAGTTAAATGTATCAGTTTGATATTCAATCGCCTCAAGTTAGCGAGAGGAGGGCAACACAGAACAGCCCGACAGAGAGATTAATGGCGACGAACCATACACAATAATTAAAATACATAACGATTAAAATACATAACGATTTGAAAATAATAAATTTTAAATTTTATCTTATACATATCAAACAATTTATTTTTAGTTTAGTACTTAAATTTTGATTAAACAACTTTTTAATTCAATAAATTTAACATTCAATTTTCAATACTTAATTTTTAATTTTCAACATTATTAAACATTACCTGAGGCCAAACCTTATCATAAGACATAGAACTAAAGTCGGAAAATATAAGTAGAGTAATCTACTTAAAACTCTATCTTTTGTAACAGATTGATGTGTTTCCAAAATTGTTTTATGTAGTCAGTTTTGTAAAAATGGCATAGGCAAACAACCCTAAAAGAATTCTGGAAAACTCAAAAAAGATTGAGCAGTGAGAGGAGGGGAATGAACAGAAAATGGGTAGGCAGAAATATAGAGAGAGAAAGAGAAGATAAAGAGAAGTGGAGCGAGCATCTTACCTTGCAAGCCGAGACTGGAGAGCAGAAATAACCTGTTAACAGCTCGTTAGAGAGAATTCTGGAAAACTCAAACCCAACAATATAAAATGAAAAGAAACCAGTTGACAGAACTTCGAATGAAGCCATATGGAAAATGATCCACATAGCCAACCAGTATTTGGGATTAGCTTCTAACAATCTCTCTCATAAAAACAAACTAAATAATTTAAAATATCATAAGCATAACAAATTTTTGCAGAGTTTTTTTCTTTTTAGAAATTGAATCAATACTATTTTTTTATGGACATGTAACCATCACAGTGCAATGTGGCACTGACAAAATGAACGGTTAATTATCCCACTGTATCCACAACTATATGACTTTGAACAAAATTTAGTCTGAGAATTAGAAGAATCACAAAGAATAAGAAGACAATAAAAGGCATTACTCACTTGGGCCTGAACAAATATATTCCTTCCAATGCCAACAATAATCAAATCTTGCAAGCGAAATGAAATCATAATTAAATAATTTGGCAAATGAATAAATAAACAAAACAAAGGAACCAAGCTTTATAAACCAAAATCTAGGGAGTATATGGTAAGAACCCCTTTATTTTTTTTCCTCTTTTTTTTAAAATAGCCAACAAAAATGAACTTAAACAATTTAAACAGAAATTATGAAGCATAAACCAGAAACAGAAACATAAATGATAAACCAGAAATGATGATAAATAGAAATGAACCAGAAACAGAAATAATGATAAACCAGACCATGAATCAACAATTTAAACATGAAGCATAGAGAGAAAGAGAGAGAGAGGGAGAGAGGTACCAGAGAGCTCCAATCGGGGTTCGAAGCAGAGAGAGAAAGAAAAGATTATCCCACTGTATCCACAACTATATGACTTTGAACAAAATTTAGTCTGAGAATTAGGAATGTAACCAATGATTAGTGGATGAAAAGTGGATGAATTTACACCGTGCCTTTAGTTTTATTCTCCAATACACAAACACATATGTAATATTGTATTTCATTGTTAGGTCTCCAGTATGTAATATTGTTCAAGGATCGTAATAGAGATGGTGTGTTCAAGTAATGCTTATGATGACAGACTGACAGTGTTAGAAAGGGTGTTAATGCAAGACTCGCTATTGTGAATGCAAGACTCGTTCATACGTGTGTATGAAAGACAAATGTAAATTTGATAATTTTAGAGAGAATTCTGGAAAATTCAAACCCAACAATATAAAATGAAAAGAAATCATTTACCCCAATCAATCAGATAGAGATACAAACCAGTTGATAGAACTTTGAATGAAATTTATTGATACATATCAGCAGAAAAAATTTCAGCAGATAAATTGATAGAACTTTGAATGAAATTTATTTATACTTTGAATGAACTTTGAATGTAAACTTTGATTTGTATCAGTAGATTTTGTTTGATATGTATCAGTAGATAAAATTTGATCAGATGTTGATACATATCAAATAAAATAAATGATCAGCAGATTCTTTGTTTGATATGTATCAGCAAATTTATTGAAAATAAAAAAATGTTAGAAATGTTTGGTTAACAATTGGTCCATGTATCAATTTACACCCCCAGAAAACAAATCCAAACAAATAATAAAACCCCTTTAAACCAATAGGACAATTAATTAGTGCTGCCAATCATAACAAATAACTCTTTCAAAATCATTAGTGAGTGAACAACAAAAAGAAATAAAAAAAATGTTAGAAATGTTTGGTTAACAATTGGTCCATGTATCAATTTACACCCCTAGAAAACAAATCCAAACAAATAATAAAACCCCTTTGAACCAATAGGACAGTTAATAAGTGCTGCCAATCATAACAAATAACTCTTTCAAAATCATTAGTGAGTGAGGTGAGGTGTGGCGTGGCGTGGCGTTCAATGGATATTGGGGTAATATCAGCTTAATATTCTGTTTGATGAAGAATCAAACTATAGTATAATGTCTCTCCATCTATCTATTTTACAAAGACAACTGAAAAGCATATCATGCTTTATTTATTTTTGTTAATTTAGTACTTATCATATTCCATTAAAAAAAAAATAACAAACACAAACAATTACTTTGGGTTTGTTTAAAAGGAAAGAAAGAAAATTAAATTTATGAGTTAATATGTTTATACTTTAACAGTATAGTAAGAATTTTCAAAGTTATCCATCTATTAAATGCATTCAAACTTAACAAAATGATGATAACAATATTAGTTTCTTGGCTTTTCAAGATGGATAACTATTTTGGGACATCCCAAACAACAATGGAAGGTGGGTGTACATACTCTGTTAGTAAGTGTAAATATCATCAATATCAATTTCACCAATAATTTCCCAATTTTAACTCAAATATATAAACCCAGATATATAAACCCAAATTCTAACTCAAATATATAAACCCAAATTCTAAACTAAAATTATAACTCAAATTATCAAGAGTATTAGACCAACATGATTCCAAATTCTAACTCAAATATATAGACCCAGATATTTAAACCCAAATTCTAAACTCAAATTATAACTCAAATTATCAACAATTGAAGTATTTGCATGACCCAGATGATTCCAGAGTGTTAGACCAACATGATTCCAAATTCTAACTCAAATATATAAACCCAGATATATAAACCCAAATTCTAAACTAAAATTACAACTCAAATTATCAACAATTGAAGTATTTGCATGTGAGAGTATTTAATAAAAAACAGAACCAGATAGAGAGAAAATGGCAAGAGAAGAAAATGAAGGGGAACAGAGAGAGAAGAGGCATAGAGACAGAAATATTACCTAGGTTTGGTGTAGCTCTGAAGTAGCTCTGTTTCACCAAATAATAAGCCATGAACCATAAACGGAAATGATGATAAACCAGAAACCATAAATCAACAATTTAAATATGAAGCATAGAGAGAAAGAGAGAGAGCCTGAAAACTTTCTGCTTTCTTCGCCAGCCTTTCAAGCCAAAATCTGAAATTTGAAGCGAAAACTGAAATCATTAGATTTTATTTTTTAACATATCAAATGTTGATCAGCAGATTTATGCTATATAGCACAAAGAATCCCAATTGATGTGAATTCTCTATGGTTATTTGCATTGAGATTGTTTGTTCATCCTATTGTTGCTTTAATTGCTGAAAATTTAGTTAATTATTTGTGGTTTTGATGATTTCTGATTGTGATGCGAAGTTCGGTGATTCTCTGTAAATTCATGTACACTATTTTTGTAAAAATATTTTGAATATCGTTTAATTAAAACCGGTTGCCATGAAGAATGAATAATGCCCTTGCTCTCATGAGTCATACCCCCAGTTTAAGGTGAGTACACAATGAAATCTATTGAAAATTTTATTACGCATGTATAGACTGACTATGCATTTTTGTGGGGGAGTATTTGAAAAAAAAATGGGACAATTGTTGCTTTTGTTTTCATTTTTATATTTATTTTTTCTAAATGATCATTAGGTGAATCATTTAGTGATTTTAAAATTTGAGTAATGAGAAAGACTCAAAAACTGTAATCTAAGACTCAAATGTTGATTAAAAAAATGAACAATTCAAATCTTAATATTATTTTAGTCTGTTATTATGATAATTTGAATTGTTCATTTTTTCAAATCCTATGTATAAATTAGTTATGAGAAAAATTAGATTGATAAGATAATTATAACTACATTATTTCATCATATATATTTGTCTTAAAAAAATAGACAATAAGTATAATTTTAAAAATAATCCACAATTTTTTTTATATATAAAATCACATAATTATAATTACTAAATTAATATAATTTTATTTATGAATAATTTACAAATAACAAATTAAATAATTTTATGGTATATCTACACCCCCACAAAGCCTCCAACTCACACAGTGGACTGGGAAGAATTCTCTCCCTACTATAAATAAGACAATAAAAGATTAATAAGGAGATTCAAACCGAAAAGCAAGTCCATTAAAATTATACTCACACCATACTAATAGATGCCGTTATTGTGTATCCAATTGTAACACCTATGAGATTACCATACTGAGCTATTCCACATAGCTTCACCTGGATGCCTCCTGAGAAAAACAGAAATGACCCAAATCCATGAATATTTGAACAACAATAATAACTACAAATATTAAACATTGGAGCTAAAAATAAAACAATAAACAACAATAATAAAACTAATCATAAAACTAATCTACCTTTACCCATATCATAGTTTCAACAACAATAAAACTAATCATCAAATTAATCACAAAAGATACACGGGAAACAAATATAACTACAAATATTAAACATTGGAGCTAAAAATATATCAATGTATTGTAAGCCCCAAATTACAAATATAAAAACAGATTGTAAGCCCCAAATTACACAGATTGTAAGCCCCAATGAACCCAATTTTAAACCCAGACGATGAAACTAAAAATATATCAATGTATTCATGGATGTAAAAAAATATCAAACCCAAGAATGTTATAAACAACCCTAAAAATGTATGTATTCATGAAATGAAGGAGAAGAACAGAGAGAGAAGGGGAAAAAATATCAAACCCAAATCACACCAATCAAACCCGAGAGTAGTAAGTAGTGATGGTCCATGTTCCCGATGGTGATCAGGAGCATGCACAATATGTATACACTAACTGTCTAAAATCTATGTAGTCCTGTTTTATCATTGTGTTCAGCATTGAACAATGAACTCAAACTGTAAGAGCTTGAGTATGAAATGGATATATTGATGAGTAGACTCCTGAAATGTTGCATTTCCTTCTAACAACTAATTGGAAAAGGAATTCATAAATATGGAACTGACCAGAAAACCATGGAAAATCGGGCATGCATTTCCTTTAGAATCCCATCTGGTGTTGTGCCCAAGAACATGGAGGGTTTGAAGGTGAAATTTTCCCCTGCTCTTTTGCAAAGTTTCAACTATCTTTGTACACAAAGGAAAGGAATAGCCTTCCAATTTTGCCTTTCTTTCTGCCCTAGTACCATCACTGGCACACTGCATACAAAAATTCAATACATTCAATTCAACCTACATCTCTAGAATATCAAAAACAAAGTAGAGGATCTTGGGGCAGACTTGAGGTGAGGCATCTTCGAAACCACCAATTAGGTGTACCTGCAATGTATACACTTGCAGGGGTTACAAACCATGCAAAAATACCAAGTCATTGAACACGAATAATTTATCAACACGACAGAATTTGGGGGAAATAGAGAAGAATACGTCCAACTCGGCATCAGAATTTTGATTGACAACTAAAGTTAACATTTGGGTGAGGCCAAAACAACAATATTTGGAGAATCTATGTGGGCAACAGAGTCCTGCCATCAAGGTAGAAATTCATAATCAAATACTTCAATTACATAGAATTCAACAAAATATTATCTTTAATGAAATATATTTTCATACATTCCACTTGTGCGGTTCCGAATGGCAAGACCCACACAGGTTGCCTGAACGTGATTTGACGATTCACAGGAGGGGGACGGTGCAATGAAGAACGGCGAAGGCGGAGGAGAAGCAAGAAAGGAGGCAGCGATCTTCTTTGAGGATGAAGCGGTTGTAGTCGACGTCTCAGGCGTCGTGAGAAGCATGGGTGATGAAGGATTGGACGAAACCAACCGAGGAGGTAGATGAAGAAACGATGGCAGCGAGTTCGGAGAGAGTGACGACGTGGAGAGGGGCGGAGGATCGGATCTGATCGCGCTAACGATGGAGGAGGTAAGGCATTAGAGGCTTTTGGGAGGAGGAGGAGGATGAGGAGGAGGAGGATGAGGTAAGGCATTACAGCAGATGTGTTTAGCTAGACGTGGGAGAGAGAGCAAAGAGTTGTTTGGGCGGGAGATCCATTGATCTGAACCATTGATGTAAACTTGGGATTAATCTCAACCATAGGTTCAAAATGTATCACACATACATTTTATATATTTTCAAAAACCTTCTCCCCTTATTATATAGATATTAGATCAATTTAATTTTTTATATTAATAATCTACTTAAAATAAGTGACAGAGTTATAAAAATATCCCTAATATTAATAAGGCTGAAACACATTAATATTTACACTGATGTGAACATACCAAACCAAACCAAACCAAACGAAGCCTTAAGTCCATCAAATGGGGTCGGCTACATGAATCCTTCTTCTCCACGCGGCCCTATCAAAGGCCATTTCATTAGTCAAATTAAGTAGATTCATATCTCTATTTATAACGCTAGTCAACGTTAATCTAGGCCTACCCCGTCCCCTAACACTTCCATCTACCGTTCACTTTTCGAAACACCCGGAGACTGATGTGAACATACATATTGTTAAATTTATTTAATGTGAATGTTCACATTATCAAGTTACTAAGAGTTCAAAAAATATTTACGAAGATAAAATTGTTCATAAAATAATGAGAATTAAGATTTGGTGGATCAAATATCTAAAATAATAGGACTTATTAAAATATAATAATATCTTATGAATTAATTGAAATACAAGTACTTAAAATAAGATTTTTTCAATAAATTCTCCTATAAATTTTTTTTAAAAAGTTGAAGTTGACATCATGAATGACGTCACCACCTTGTTCCCTTGAGTGTGGTGGGTGCCATATTAAAAAGGCGCATCTACATTAAAGAGAAATACGATGCACTCTTTTTATTCGTAGTAATGGAGAGATTTTAAACCACATTTTGTCGTTAAGGAGTGGCTTGGAATTTTATTTGTTTAGTGAATTTAGGAAATTGAAAAAGGTTATTGTGTTTGAAAATGATTTTTTAATTGTATAAAAATGTGAACAACTTCTATGCTTTATTTACTTTTTAATGATTTTTAATCAAAAAATTATAAGTTATCAAACCAATACTAAAAATCAAGTATTTGAGAGAGTAAAATTGATAATTAGTTAAATTTTTAATCATTCATGCACATCCATGTGAGTAACATTTCAAAAGGCATTGCTAGTTTGGGTGGTTAGACCCCTCAAAAAAAAAAAATAAAAAAAAAATAATAATAATGAAAACAAAAACGATGACAACATATGCAAAAAAATAAAAATGCAAGTTTGGATTACACGAAGTACTCATTCATAACTGAAGCACGAAATTATGAAAGTAATAGTCCAATTACAAGAGGGAAAACGATATAATTACTCCTATAAAAAAAACCATTCAACATTTTTGTTTTTGTTTTTGTTTTTGTTTCTGTTTTTTTGGTATAATATTCAAGGTGATTTTTGGCTAATAAAATCCCTAAAAGCATCCAAACTAGCCCCCGCACTCGCCGGAAAACCGCCCTCAAACTTGCCACCCAATGCCGCCGCTCGCTTGTGAACCTCTTCATCAGCCATCAACCTCTCAATCCCTTGCACTATGTCTTCCTTCACAATTTCCGATAGGTCACCATTTGATACCATGTACCCTACTTTGAGGTGGCACACCACCAACTTAGCATCGTAAAATTGGTCACCCCTAATCGGCCATGCCAAAATGGGCACCCCACGCCCAATTGCCTCCACAGTCGAATTCCACCCACAATGCGACAAAAATCCACCCGTCGATGGATGGCTCAATATCATCAGCTGCGGTGCCCATCCGCGTATTATCAAACCCCTATCACCTACTTTGCTATCTAACCCATGAGGGTAGTAGCCTTCTTCTTCTGCAGCATCTGAACCGGGTTTACCACCCAAGAAAGCACGGGGTGGACCATGCCTACCTGAACCGGGCTGAATAACCCATATAAATGGCCGGTTTGATTCTCCTAAAGCATTAGCTAGTTGAGCGTATTCCTCTAAAGTGGGCCCAACTTCACTCCCGAACGACACGTATATCACAGATCCACGCGGCTTTGAATCCAACCATTGGATCACTTCGTCTTCCGTGTAATTGGATTGTCGTTTGGGCCGAATGTCCCGGTCGTGCATGACTGAACCGGCCGAATTCCAGTACTGTTCCGGCAATAGTGGGCCCACACCGTAGACCGGTTTTCCAATCTGATTCGCTACGTATTGAATGAACGGACGCTCCAGATCGTCACACGTGTTGATCAACAACGCGATCGAGCCGTCTACTTCATCCACCCACGGTGGCCGATGACCCGGTTGCGGTGGACCAAGTTTCGGCCCACCTGGTGGTCCATGTAAATCGGGTGGTCCACCTGGCGGTCCATGTAAACCGGGCGGACCGTCCAGTCCACCTGGGGAACCACCCATATGTGGAGGCCTGTGAGACCGTCGGTTAATATCAGAATAAGTCAAGCCCATGTCTTCGGGCAACCCGGGAATGATCCGAACCTCACCGGGCTTCATATTGGCGGCGTTGGCTTTCCACGACGCGTACTCCATGGCGGCGGATGCGGCGCCGGAGGTGAAGAACGCCGCCGTGGGAATACCAAACTTGGCGAAGAACTCTTTGCTCCAGCTCATCATCACATCAATCACAGCACATGCGGGTCGGGTGGGATTGTTAATTCTGGAAGAGAGGAATGACTCAAGGGCCAAACCCATTTGCTGGTGACGGCGGTGGAAGGGGTTGTGTCCGGGTCCGGGTTCAGACCCGGATCCTCCGGCAGCCTCAGGCGGCGGCGGCGGAGGGGCGGCATCGTCGGTGATTTCGGCGATTTCTACGAGAGGGTGGTGGCGGAGGGAGGAGGGGATGGAGGAGGAGAGATTTGAGGAAATCATGAGGGTAGTTTGGTAATTTCGAGAGGAGAGGTGTTTGCAGAGCTCTATGCAGGGGAAGAGGTGGCCTTGCCCAAAGAATGGGAGGATTAAGATCTCTCCATCTACTGCCATGTTTGGGTTTTTGTTTGTTTGTCGATGATCTTTGAGATCCAATATATGGGTAAGTATATATAATGTAAGTATAGACTAGAGAGAGGAAGGAAGGAAAAGGGGAGAGAATCGACGAAGGAGGAAAAGAAGGGGCAAAGCTTAGGGATGAAGAAAAGAATTACAGGAAGAGAGGTTAACTGGTGAGAGTGTTTGTTGTGAAGGGATTGACTGTTTGGTGGCAGAAAGGATTTTGGGTTTCAATTATATTCGGGTTTGGTTTTAATTTTTCGAAAATTTAATTTTTAATTTTTTTAATTTTTTTAATTTTTAGTAAATATTTTTTAAATTTTGAGTAATTTTTTTTTATATGTACCAAATATTAGGGGTGAGCATGGTCCGGATTGAACCGGATTGGGATAAAATCAGGACCAATCCGTTATTTACGGTTCTTAAAAAATTGGAACCAATCCAATCCGTTTAAATCATGGAACCAATCCGAACCAATCCATTTAAATACGGATTGGATCGGTTTAGGACCACGGATTCACATAATTAAATAACAAAAATATATTTATAACACTTTAATTTTATAAAAATATAAACATAGCGCTATATTAGTTCCACAATAGCAACATATTTTTCTATAATAGCGACATACTATTCTAAAATTTAAATAACCAAAAGAAAATTAGTTTCACTATAAGTATTTAAACCATTACAACTTAAAACTAAAAATTAACAAACAAGAGTAATAAAAGAAGATATTATACGGTTTTAGGTTTGAGTTTAGATTTTATATAGAATGAAGAGAAGATACTATGGGGGAGGATGTATAATAAAAATATAGACTATTTGTATACGGTTCGGATTGGTTCCAATCTGGAACCGTGGGACTCAATCCGGAACCAATCCGTAAACTACGGATTATTAATTCTTCAATCCAGAACCGAACCGCGGATTCAAAAAATCAATCCAAACCTATCGGATTGGACTGGACTGGATCGGATTACGGATTTCACGGATCACTTGCTCAGCCTTACCAAATATTTGTAAATAACTATTTTAAAAAAATAATAAATATATAAAAATATGAAAAATATATTGAATTTATATATATATATATATATATTTTATATTTTTGGTATTTAGTAAATTTTTTAAAGATTTTTTAATAAATATTATATTTTTTAAATGTATTTATATTAGTTGTGTCTAAAAATTTAAAAAAATTACTTAAAATATTAATAAATTCACTGAAAAAAAAATGAAAAACGAAAAAAATATAAAAAATGACAAAGTAATTTTTTTTTGAAAAGTAAATTATGAAAACTAAAACAAAGGCACTTTGGGAAGATTGGTAAAAATC